GAAGAGCTCTCTCAGCCCCACCCGCCTCACAGGGTGTCTGTTGTGGGGAGGGGAAGGGGAAGGAGTTTGTAAGCCGCTCTGAGACTCCCTTGGGTAGTGAAGGGCAGGGTATAAATCCAATCTTCTTCTCAAACATCTGATGTTTATATCTATGTGGCTCTTGCGTTAAGTGAGTTTGGCCACCCCTGCTCCAGACCCTCCAGTGGCTGAGGCTGTTACCTCAGGGAACACCCTTTCACTCGAATAAGGGCAGCCAATGACAAGCCCTTCCTTAAATGGACCCACCCACTTTCTGAAAAGCTCTACGGGCGCCAACGGAAGCCCTGGCAGGCACCATCTTGGGGAACCCTGGCTTAGTATGCTAATTCCCGGCTGCTTTCATCTTTTTCCCCTTGAAATTTCAAAATTCCCAGCTGCCTTCATTTCCCCCCCTTGAAGCTGGGAAAAAAACCCCACATTAGGGAAGTGCATGTCGTTGAGTTGTCATTATCTTCAAGTATTCGAGTAAAACAAGCGGAGGCTGGACTAGATGGCCTATAACCTGCTGACACAAGGGTCTAAGGAAAACAGCTTCCATGTAAAGCTCTGCTTTGGGTCAAACACAGGGGTAGCCAAACTTGCTTAATGTAAGAGCCACATAGAATAAACGTCAGATGTTTGAGAGCCATAAGACATGAACAGATATTACACGTTTTTACTGGGAAATATGCAGATTTGCTTTTTATTAACATTATAAATGAGACTGCCAAAAATAATAACAAAAGCGGTAAAAGCAGATATTGATAATGATATTTATTTGTCGAATGATAATTTGTTAGCTAATGATATTTAGCTTCCCCAGCCGCCCTGCCGGGAGCCACACAATAGGTGTGAAAGAGCCGCATGCGGCTCCCGGGCCACAGTTTGGCCACCCCTGGTCAAACATAATATTTAATCCAAATTTAAATTTTCCTTCTGAAATATTTCCGTTCAACCACTATTGACTTCTAGGAAAACTTCTGACGTACTTCTGCAACACATAAAATTATGATAGCGTACTTTAAAAATAAATACATCCTGTTGACTAAACACAAAATCATGCCTCCTCCCTGTGTGTCGCCACCCACGTTCTGAAGTTACAACAGCCGGGCCTGTTGATAGTTCCACTGAAGAATCTCCCTGCTGCAGGCAGCACCTGTATTGGGGATACCACCTGCCTGAAGAGGTGAGGACCAGTGTTCCCTCTAAGCTGAGTTAGTGTGAGCTAGCTCACAGTTCTTTAGCCTCCGGCTCACACATTTTTGTCTTCGCTCGGGAAGGAGGGCTCCAGAGCAAACTAATTTATGCAGCAGCCAAATCGCTCACTCACAACTTTAATGCCAGTAGCTCACCAAGTAGAATTTTTGCTCACAAGACTCCACCGCTTAGGGGGAACATTGGTGAGGACACCCACTTGCCCAAAAGGACAGCTGGTCTTTCTTTTTTTAAATCTTAATTCTCGTCCAGCACGGCCGTTCTACCTTCGAGTGTTTCTCTTAATACCACATTTAACAACCAAATCCTCTGGGTTTTAAAAGCCAGCACAGACCCCCAAGCCAAGAACTACAAATCTGCATGAGAGAAGCACCTTCTTATAAGACAAGCACTTCAAGGTCCTTTCCGCACTTGGATCTCATCCCTGGTTTTATCAGAGTTCAACTCGCGACACAAATACCTTGAATTTATCCCTGGTTATAACAGCATCCGTTTATCCCGGGACAAATGTGGGGCGAAACCAGGTTGACCTCAATGTAATGTGGAAACAAAAAATACCCTGAGATAATTACAGGGGTGACCTCGTGTGTAGTGTATGTGTCTCCCAGATTAGACTCCGCGCACTGAACCACTACACCAACCACAAGATTTTCGGGGTATGAGCTTTTGTGAGTTGAAGGTCCCTTTCAGATGGCACCTCACGTCAGGTATCGGATGAAGGGAGCTTTGACTCCCAAACGCTCACACGCTGAAGATCTTGTGGGTCTCTAAGGCGCTACTGGGCTTGAATCGAGCCATGTTACTGCAGACTAACACGGCTACCCTCTGAAACGAACTGCCATGTGGGGCAGTGATGGCTGATAGGTTAAATGGCTTGAGAAGGGGTAAGGCAGAGGCGAGTTCCACCAATGGTTATTTAGCCACAATGGCTAAATGTAACCTACCTGTCCAGAGACAGTATACATGCAGACGCCAACCTGCTGGAGGTCTACAATAGGGGAGTCTCCGCCCAGAACACTGTGGGAAGCAGGATGCTGCACTAGGTGGACCACTAGGCTGACCTGAGACTCTGTGTGGTGCCGTGGTTAAGAGTGGTGGACTCTAACCCAGAGAACAGGGTTTGATTCCCCCCTCCTTCACATGTAGTCAGCTGGGTAACCTTGGGTCAGTCACAAGCTCTCTCAGAG